GTTTATCTTCTGCAATAGAGTTTACACACCCCCCTCCCCTCCCCTCCCATATTAGAGTCAGGAGATTCTCACTGGCTTCTTACCTGGAATGATGATCATTCAATTGTTAGATTCTTATGAATTGCTGGAAGGATCTTGGGATCAGTAGAACGTAGCCCCACCTCAGTGGAATCTGAATTTGGGGGGGGGGGGCTTTGAGGAGCCCGGCATGGTGTTCTGTGGTGCTCCGTTCAATGGAAATTCGGGCATCTGCCTGCCCGAATTGCCTCTCTGGCCAGTTGGAATTCGAAGTGCTGTGCTAAGTTACGAATAGCCAAAGCATAGCTCGGCGAGATTTGTAATGGAATCGCAATGTAATCCCATCCCATTGCACCAATTCTTGCATGACCAAATCTCAGAATTCCAGTGCGAATCAAAGGAGATTGTCACATGGGAATATCCTATGTAAAAGGAATATTTCCCGCACCTCCGATTTAGCACGTTTATCTACGTACGGTGCGAAGGAAATTCTACATACATCCCATAGAAGAATCACGATTCCCACAGGAATAGCCCTTGGGTGGAAGAGTGAGAATCGAAGACGCTTCCAGCAGGATTTTCTCCCTCTGTCCAGCAAAATGTTTGAGTTAACCGTTTGCTGCAGCACTACACAACTGTGCAACTGGCTTTCTTTTCAGTCTCAATAAATCGAAGACCTACCCCGCATTATATGTACAGTAAAGCCTTGGATTGCGAGCATAATTCGTTCCGGAAACGTGTTTGTAATCCAAAGCACTCGTATATCAAAGCACTCGTATGTATCAGTTGTGATCACGTGGCGCTCGGCAGACAAAGCGGACCAAGTTACTCGCAATCCAAGGGTTTTACTGTACTATGTTGAACTTCTTTCTCACCGTACGTAGCCAACCGTGCCAATCGGAGGTGCAGGGAGGGGGGGAAGGACAACAAACTAAACTCAAATATACATGCTGAACTTTTTTGTACTGTTGATTGTGGGATACCAGAAAAAGTGTACTTGTAATGAATGGCCCCTCGCCCAGTTATAAGTAAAGTTCAAGCGTGCGTGGGTGCAACGCTGTTGGAAAGCAGCTCCGAATACGATGTATAGTAGTACTGTGCTCTGCACGCTGTCCTGTGTGCTTCTAGGGTGGCCTCTACCTGGCTTTGGCTCACAGGCTGCTGTTAAAGTAATCAAAGGGCAGGATATGAGCCATGTTCGCGGATTGCTGCCATGGTTAGCACATGCTGGACTTGCGAATCCAGCCATCGCGGGTTTTTTTTATTTTACCAGGTAAGGCCCCACTGAACGAAACGGCTCATTTTCAGAAGAGTCATGGCTAACGCAAATTAGAGCTCAACGAAGTGGCTTATCGCGTGGAAATGTATCGCAGCCAAATACAGTAAAACCTTGGATTGCGAGTAACTTGGTCTGCGAGTGTTTTGCAAGACGAGCACAATTTTTTAATAAATATTAATTTGATAAACGAGCGAGGACGAGTAATGTACGTGTGCACGCTTTGTCTGCCGACGTCACGTGATCACAACTGATATACGAGTGCTTTGATATACGGAGTGCTTTGGATTGCAAACACGTTTCCGGAAGAAATTATGCTCGCAAATCCAAGGTTTTACTGGTACTCCAAACGCACGTTCTTTCTAATATGTGGTGGGAAACCCCGGAGAAAAATCTACGTGACCACGGGGAGAACATGCAAATTCCAAACATACAGACGTCAGGTTCGGGATCGAGCCCATGACCTCCTGCATATCAGACGAGGTAGTTAACATCTCGGCACCACGGCTGCGGCATTTGAAACAACGGTGCAATTTCTAACTCATCCCCCCCCCACACTTTTCGCTGTCTACCCAGCAGTATAAATGGGTACAGCACAGGTAATACATTGGTATGTCACGTGTGGTGGGATAAATTGTGGATACTCCGATCTCTTCCAAGACGTAATTAAAAAAAAATTGGGTTAAAGCGCGTAAATATCAATGTGTCTTTAAACCCGACATGGCCAATTGGTAAGGTTTGTCACGTGAAGAAAATGTGCCAGTTACTACTTCAGCACACCGGTGTGTTGGAGAGTAAACCAACAACAAATACAATTCGAGTACGACTTTTCGTATGACGCATTTTATATATATATGCGATCTAACCCAAAAAAAAAACCGGTTTTATGGATAATATTGGTCGCGAAAGCCCATGTGTTAAACTCTTACGAGACTTTTGGCGAGCGTGAAAGAGTAGGCCAAAGTAACCTCTGGAAGAGTTCACTCTGAGCTCTGTCCCAGTGGGGAGGCCTTTCTGCCAGTGGTGGAGTGAACAAAAATTGCAGCATCGCACCTTTTACCTTGCGGTGAACCGTATGGTATCAACCTGGCCACAGGTTACTGGGTAGTATCATCATCGTCATCATTTCATCATCATCACGATCCATGGGCAGAGAGCCCGTAGGTGTCCACTGCACATTTCGTTATTTGTTCCCCATTTTCCTCTGTCTGGTACCAATATGCTCAAGTAATGTCACATCTTTCTGGCACCAATCTCTTATGTCGTCGTGAAGCCCGTTCTCTGTTAGGCCTTCCTCTATTTCCTGTTCCTTCCATTCTACACGCTTTCTTTGGACTCACTCTGTCTGTTGTTGTTGTATCATCAAATCTTGTAACTCAATTTTAAGCCATTTCCCAACGTGGTATCGACTGCAAACTTGGTATACTCATGTCATACTGATGACAATACTATATTCTATCATAAAAAAAAATATTTTTTAAACATTCTTTTTAACATGTTATGTTTCGGCTTGGGTCTACTTGTCCATGATAAAACTGACGTTGGCTGTAATTGGCCACGGTCCCTCTCACGTTATGGCAAGCTTCAGGGCCACTTCCTGGAGTCGTGGAGTTCTGCCATTACGAGTACATTTCATAAAAGCGTGGTTTTAAAAAAGCAGAGGAGATTCTCTCCAGCATCCAGGCAGTGTCGCAGCCCACGTGCAATGAATGTGTGAAGCCTATTGAACTGGCGCTGTATTGATTTCCGTAAAACCTCATGGAATTGAGCACCCTAATATAATGATCCATATGGCCGAAATGTTTACAGTGAGAAACAGCAAAAATAACTGCAGCATTTTGGTATTATTGGTCATAAACCAAGATAAACATTCGAACAAAAATAATTCAATAAATATACAACATCTTCTGTTTCAATGCTCATGTTCATTCTTGATTTGCAAGGAAAGGCTGCGCTACACATTACACGCAAGAATGATAAGTGCCGTACTGTATAACGTGTACACTGAATTGATAATGAGTTTGAGTCATTGCCTGCTATGAGGCCAGTGAGTGTCGCTTGTGTCCCCAAAGGGAACGGAGATAATTGGTTCGTGAACGCTCTTTGTTTATCTCCGTGAGTCACTTTCCTCGTGCAGTGACACGTACTATTTTAATACAGCACCAATGGCCAGCGCATCGTTTATGTCACTTGCTATTATTAGCATTACAGAATACTGCACATGTACAGCATGTGTTTATGCGTATAGCATGTGTTTTTGGGTATGCATGGTGAAATTCGTTTGTTGGATAGGACCCCATACTCTCTGGTTCTTTCGGTAAAGTCACGTAGATAGAAAAAATAATAATAGAACACGACGTTTCGGTCGCAACACAAGCGTCCATCATCAGGTGTTGCGACCGAAACGTCGTGTTCTATTATAATTTTTTTTCTATCTACGTGACTTTAACGAAAGAACCAGGAGAGTATGGATTACTGCAGTCACGACAGCCTCAAATCAAGATAGGACCCCATAACTCATGGATACTATCCAATAATAGGACCCAAAACTCATGGGTCCCAATTAACTACTGTGATTAAGCTTCGTTGAACAAGATAAATTAATATAAGTCGGCATCAGAGAGGCGAGAAGAGAATGGCACAACTCAGTTTGCCTTAAGGGTTTGAACACCGATCCTTTCCCGAGAGAGTTAACGGTAATTACGCGGATAATTGAGGTCAGAAATCTCTCCAGGAATCTAACACGGAGCTTGAGTGTCGAAGAGTAGTTCATCGGATAGCATTGCCAAGATAACATTATGGCTCAAGACAATTTAAATATAATTCAAATATTCTTGAACCACAGGTCCTGACGATGATGGTGATGTATGGTAAATGTATGAAGAAATTAACCAACCTCTAAGTGAGAGTAAAACACATTACACCATCGTAATGTATGACTAAATGCAAAATTAGGTAACGTGCAGATATGAGAAGATGATTGGTTAGTTTAGAATTGCAATGGAGAAACAACAGAGGGGTGAGTGTGTTAGGGTTCGCATCCAGTTGGTGAGCCTCGTGTAGAACACGTCACTCGAAGACGCGGCAGCCAAAGTTTGGGACTAACAATGGATTTCTAGCCACAGGTGCGTGATGGTTTGCTGAATTGGAAGAATGGGAGATTACAGTTTGGGGTGGTTTTCATCCGGCGGTGGATTGATCATGGTTGAGCACAATGTGTTTTCTGTGTAACGCATGTTGAAATGACTCTGTTGGATATGAAAATCACGGATGCTATTAAACCAAAGTACTGTGTTATAGTACAATTACCAAAATAGGCTATTTCTGTCTTTAAATAAATTAACGTCTTGTTTTAATGCCAAGAGCGATGGTGTATGAATCCAGCCAGATGGCTAAGACCAAGCAGCTTGCTATTGTAAAGATGCGCGTTTATATCCTAGTTGCGGTTGACTCAGCCCATCAATGCTCTGGGGTCGACAAAATAGGTACCACTTTGTGGGTAAGTCGACCATAGTTGTCTCATGGATAGATTCACCCCTGCCATGGGAATGTGGAATTTCCACCACTGGCTCGGGGCTGTAGACAGGGGACGAACAACGATGCCCCCATGCAATGTTCATCGTCATTTGAGCAGAGAATCACCTTGACCTTAATTTAACATAATTATATTTACCAAATTTAAATGAAGCTACAACCTCTGTTCCAGATCAGGAGAGAACATGCTCAGCCCACCTACCCATTAAACAGCTGATGCAGCCACTGGTGATGTCACCACGGTGGTGGGCGTGGCTGCTGAGGCTTGGCAGTGTCGGAACTCCCCCGCAGACTTGCGTAATGAGTGCGAGTCCTCTCGGTTTTCATATCGCAGAGGATAATTGGGAGAGAGAGCGAGAGGAAGGCCGTTTCAAGCGCTGCAGGTGAGAATCGCGTGGCATTGCCCTGATTATGTGCTCCTGGACGGCGACGTGTCACGTGTACGATGGGTGTTCAATGTGTGTGTGTGTGACGAGAGGGGGCTATGCGGGCAGTTGTCATGCCCATTCAGTGTTTTCCAATCGTATAGACCGTGAATAAGAGATCAACAAAGCATGCCAATTCGTTACTTGTACAGCACATCCGGTGTGTGACGAACAAAACGATGGAATGAATGTGCATTTTGCGTTTACAACAATATGCTCCTCGAAAAATGTTAAGCACCTTAAGTTCATGGCGTTGTTAAGTGTCACAGTGCCCCATGTAAAATAATGTTACTTTTTGTGAGTGAACGGCTGATGCGTGAAAACTAATTTGGAATGCTGTCACATTTCATGCAGGCTAATTCGCTCCGGTAATTTTGTCATTTAGAAATCACAGGTACAGTAGACGGATTGTTACCATCGTGGGTAGCTCTTACCCAACAATTATTTTTATACCCTAATTTCATATTGCAGTACCTGTAATAATCCTCTTTAGCAATGCAAAATTATACAATTGTGCATACAAACTCTTTGGTTCTTTCGGTAACGTCACGTAGGTATAAGAATTTTAAATAATTTTTCTACCTACGTGACTTTACCGAAAGAACCAAAGAGTATGGATTCCTGCGGTCACGAAAGCTTCAAATCTAGATTGTGCATACAATTGGGGCTGCAATGTAAAGTATCAGTTAAAGATGAATTTTTTTTCTCTCCTGAATTACGTGTTGTTGCGTTATAAATGGATTGCAAAATAAATAACACAATACAGTGCTAGATTACAACTGCATTTTTATTTCATTGCGCACAGTACAAACCAAGGTGGGTAAAATCTTCTGGAATTCACTAGCCTGATTGTACATTCAGCAAGCGACTCCCAGATTTTTCTTGACACTCGCATGAAGTACTTTCTCTATTATGACTTAGCTGGAGTAATGAATACTTTATAAGTCATGAATATTTTATGACGCCACGCAAATGACATTAATATACTTTGTAAAATATGTTCGTTTTGCACACGTGTGTTGTCACGCTTTCTGGGTAAATGTTCTGCAGGGGGTTACAGGCGTTGTATGTCCGAAGTATGTCATTTTTTTTGTATCTAAGGCTTGGCCATTGTTCGTGTTATTGGAAAAGGGCTGAACCTGACCGTCCAGTTCTCTCACGGCAAATTGAGACCATGACACTGTGACACTCCACTGAGCAATGTACGTCACCTTAGGTATGTGTCTCATTTAAATCTCCTGCAGGCTCCAGTGCGCTTACTATGGGTATCTTGTCATTGCACACAACACTATTTAGTAACAACAATAATCCATCCAAAGCCTTACGCGCACCTGATATTTTTTTTCCTTTGCCGTACGCTAGGACGATGTTTCCACAGGTATATCATAGAAGCTCGCTTTGTTACGTGTACTTTGGCGGATAATATTAATGACTGATGGGTTAATCGTTTTACTGTTGCCATCCGCATCTGGCAGAACAGGAGGAGATCGTTTGCCAAAAATGATGCTCAAAATTGTGGCCTTTTAATGAAGAACATCGCTTGATAATTAGTTGCTGCTGAAACTACTGATGATGCTTCTGGAGGAAATACATTTTAAATATTTAATGAAGCTAGAAGTCCTGTGAAAAAAACACAACCCCATGACTTAAATGACAACGTGAAACCCAAACAAATGTGCTGACCCGGATAATCACCTAATTGTTGGATCTCAGAATTAAATTACGAGTGACTGCCCACCACTCACCAGGCCACAGCGAATACATGCATTGCTTTCATTCATATTAAGACGAACGTTTTTATGCTGTGGAGTCTCGGTTTTTTTCAGTGTGTGTGTGTGTGTGTGCGTGCTAACTATCGAGCCATCTTAATCAGGTTCAGACTGCACTTGGCCGTTCAACATGCCACACGTGTTCCATTCTTGTCCGCTGGGTCGTAACGTAGTTTTGTTTTAAGCTTATTTCCTGAAACGCAGACCCTTTTTTTTTGTTTTTTTAAGCACCCTGTATTGGGGACAGTAGAGTTGGGCAATCGCAATCGGCCGGCAGCGCACAGGGTGAACCCGACAAAGCTCACCTGGCGCTGCTCGCTCCGTTTGCTTTAGCCACAGAGCGTTCATAGCACGCGTGTGACGTTCAAACGTGCGGGCCGACGTATGGTTGGTTGTCTGTTGTGGCGATTCAAAGAAGAAGAAGAAGACAAAAAAAGTTGCGGTTATTTTTTTTTTAAAGTGCGGCCGGATTTTTGAACGATGCACGCGAATTTAAAGGGCAGCCCGGCTGTTAAGGAAGGGGGGGGGTGGCTTTACGCACGGTTGGCACTCGCCTGGCCCCACCCCCCCTGTCACTCGCACGGCAGTCTACACTCACCAGCCTTAGAACTCGTCTGAGCCCTCCACCACTCACTGTTTTTAGACAATGAATTGGACATCTCCTTGAGATGCAGCGGCTTCCCTCCATTATCGCCTTGTACACGCGCCTTGCAAAAGGCATAGGCTTCTTCTGTCCATTGTATTATTTTGTAAATAGGGCCTCATTGCACAACCGAGCATTACAAATGATTAAATGGATAAACAGCACAGGCGCCAGCCAGTAAGTCAAATTATCGGGTCGGAAGGTACATTTTGTGTGTGTGGGAATTTTGTACTAGATTGCATGAACTGCATATGATGCTTTTTCAGATGACACCTCATTGAAATTAGTGGGGCATTCCAGGTGTAGTTCTACAGACAAACGTACATAATATTAGTCGATTGTATAGTAGAGAAGGCATTTCGTTTAATGAGTTTTAATGAAAACCGTATATGTGCCGAGAAAATGTATGCCATGTGTTCAATAGACAGCACATGCATGGCTAGTCAATGAAATTATGTTCAAACTAAAACTTACACTTACAGCCCTCAGTCAATCAACTTCTGGATGAGGACCTCCACACAATATGGGGTGGTTGGTCATATTAATGGTTTAATCATACTTCACAATGCTGGTCAGTGTGGGCTGGTGAAGAGGACCGGTGCCGATATCATTCGCCACCGGCGTTACTCGTGCCTGGCATTCAAACGTAGGTGACCAGGTTCAAAGTGAAGTGTGCTAACCCACTGCGCCACCACTCCACCCAAACATGTTCAAAAGGCTGAACGAATTTTTACTCTCGATATATTGTACTGCATCGTGTGTTTAAACGTCTTTTGCAATGCATAGCTATTCATTTTCTTTAACGTCAATTTATAAAGTTATGGTACGTGCATCAAATCATGCATGTAAGAACCTATGTTTTTACATTTCTATACAGATTTCCATCGCTTCACGTGCACGTGACTAACCTATTTCTACCCAGAATTCCTATGTGCGGTTTGAATTCGCACGTGGATCGATAAAGGACCGTAAAATAAAATGTTTATAGTTATTTATTAAATTATATATTGCATGTACTGGGTTCACTTGACTCGTGTAGCCACGAACGGCTACTACGTTCACCACAATGTAAAACAAACGTCCTTAGTTAAATTGAATTGCGAGCCTGAATCGCACAAATTAACAAATCGTCGAGGGTTGAATCACTGTACGTGTTATGTATACAAGCCCCGTGCATGACTGGCTTGGTAATAGGCTGGTCTGGAATGGTACGCCTTGGTGTTGTACTTAAACCGGCTGGTATGTCCTTTTAAGTTGAGCAATCCCCTATTTCCGTAAGCAAGTGACGTTTGCACAGAGCAAGGCTGACGCGCTATTTCCCCCCCCACCCCCCTCTTTCCCCCCACCCTGCCCCTAACCCTGTCTGTTGTTGTAAATCACAGCAGTGGCCCTGGGAACGGAGGTTGGAGATGAACCGCGAGAGCCTGAGGTTTCGATAAACCGCCGAATGCACGTGGCTCCTGCGCATCATGGAAGACGCCCATAAGTAAGTGTCAGATCGGCGTGGCAGGGTACCGGGGAAATTTCAAAACGTGTGTACATTTTCAAAAACGAGTTGGGCAGGTACGCCAAATAGCTGAGCCGCCTTGTGGCTACGATAAATATGAGTTTTTCTTGGGTGCGTTGGACAGAAATATAAATTTTACTTTTTAAGGTTGCCCATAATGGTACGGAGAGTTCGTGTTGTGTGAACACAAGTATATTCTTGCGTACCGGATTAAGTGTGTGTGTTTAGTTTCAGACGTCAGATTTTAGGTGTGTATGAATTGCCTACCTCGCAGTTTGAATTGTCCGGATTTGCGGTCGTAAGCCAAGCCTTATTCAAATTGCGGCGATTACAGTGTCTCTACTGTTCGTCTGTTGAACTTCTTTCGCACCGTACGTAGCCAACCGTGCTAATTGGAGGTGCAGTGACTGCAGTGATCACGTTAACCCATTACGTAGAGCGCACAAGCAAATATAAACGAAGGGATGGTTAACTACGCGATTCAATGCATATATCGTGAACATAAGAATCGCTTGCAATCGATGCATTATCACATGCCTGTCGGGTTTGAATACATCATTCTCTATGTCAGCCAGTGCCTCCAGTATTGCAGAGCAACAAAAAGGGCAAGTTGGGACTTGTCCCACTTGTAGGCCCAGTGTGAAAGCAACTACCCTCGACTCCACCCCGCAGCGCGCGAGAGGCGCTGACAACTTTGGTCACCTTTTTAATGCCACCTACGGGCCCGACGACTGCCCGACAGTTCGCTGTCGGGCCGCGCCTAAGTCGTCTCCCATCGCTCGCACCCCAGCTCCATGGCCAGTCGATCGAGCCGCTCGAAGCCAGACGTGATGTCGGAGAGCGGTACCGTTAGGGAGACGCGGGCCGTTTTCAGACCGAGCAGCTCATCCTCTTCCACCGCCACCGTGTAGGCGTCGCTCACGCGCCACACCCGGCGCTCGCTCCTCTGGCTGCTCGAGAACGCGAGCACGTTGGCACGTCGTAGGAACGCTTCCAGGCCGGCGATGTTCCCTTCCCCGTCGGGCGGGTCGACGCCGATGACGCTCCTCAGATGACGCACGATGTCACCTTCCCCCTTGATTTCTGCGTAGCTGTAGGCGCTGTCGGGCGCGTGGCCACTTGTGCGCGAGCCGTGGCGCGAGCGAGGGTCGCCGTGGTCTTCCGCGCGCGCGTTATTGCCCTCCGAATTGCCACGTTCGGTGGCCCTGCCGTCATCACCACGCTTGTACGTGGCTTTGTCGTCGTCGCTGTTGCTGACGGGGCTATCAACGCGAGGCATCCCTTGTTCTTCCTCTTTCGCATCTGGCATCGCGGTATTGATAAACGCATTGTCTGTACCACCACTCTGGTTTTTTCCATCACTTTCCCGGTCGTATGTGTTGTGGTCATGCTTGCGGTGCGGATTGATCAATGGCTTATTGGCATCCTCGGCCTCGTGAGCTAAGTCCTGAGCCTCGTCATCAGCGGCCACCTCCATCTCGCTTGCTTTTCCTTGGCTTTGGATGAATTCGTCCTCCAAGTCGGCGATGTTTTGAGACCCTACAAGCAACTTCCACTCTCCATTGCGACAGCTGAGCCAGGTGGCGTGCAGGGATAGGCTGTAGTCCGCGGTGTCGAAGTACTGCTGCGTAACGAGCTCCTCCTTGATGCACCACGCTCCTGCCTCCTTCAGCCGTTCCTCGCTCCTCGCGCCCAGCAGGTAGACCTGGTCTATCTGCAGCATTTGCTCTGGACTTGCCGTCGCTTGAGCCATTTTTGGGCAGATTATTCCTGGAGGAAGAACACGCGACAGTTTTTCGCTTAGAACTTTTTGGTGCGTGGCTGTGACCTCGCAGCAGCTTTTTTGGCTTACCGTCTGACAAAGACGGTGGCTGCGTCTCTCGCGCTTTCAGATGTGCTTTTGTGGCCCTCTGGTGCTTCTACTGTTAAATGTAGATTGCAAAACTCTGTTCTTTAGAACTGCTTTTTGTTTCGAATTTGTTGTCCTTCCCCTGCATCTCCGATTAGCACGGTTGGCTACGTATGGTGTGAAACAAGTTCAACATACAGACTTTTGTGGTCACTGAAACCTCACAGGGACTGGAGGGAGCTGATTCCCCCTGCCCCCCTCCCACCCCATTTCTGAAGGCTCAAGACCTCATTTGAAATGTTTAAAGTCAAGTAGAAAAGAATGGTTCAATATTCAGCAGCAGTGGGTACAGCCGTGCCTTCATATGCACTCTGGTGAGATCTAGACCAGTCTGCAGAATATTCTTACAAAATTTTGTTTGGCATTTAACATTGCTCGAAGTTTGTTTGGCATTGCCTGTGTCATGTGCCCCCCCCCCCCCCCCCCCATAAACAAGATCACAATACAGGTGTTGGCCTTCTATGCTGTATGGAGTATGAACGTATAATTTTAAAAAATATTGGCATCATTAATACAGCGGTCGAAAATAGACTACATTCTTGTGAGTAAAGTAAATATATCATGCGCAATAATCGCCAACAGGTTATGCCACTCAAATGAGAGCAGTACATTCCTTCTGGGGACAACATTTATTTTGTTCACTTCATAGTTTAACCGTTTATTTCACAATAAAAACCAATCCATGACATGACTCGGACGACGGACTATTAGACACAGTCGCAACACTAGGCCCGGGCTTCGTGCTTGGTCTTGAAGCTCGTCCCTTCCCTTGTGCTCTGCCCTTTTATATCTCTCGAGCCCTCTTTCTGGAATCTTCCCTCACTGTTTTTTTCCCCACAGCCAATCCCTGTCCTTCTCCTCTAAGGGTTCCCAACCGTCGCCTCTGGGTTCCACTCCGTTTCCCGCCTATTCTCGTTCAAACCTTTTCCTCCAATCGCTTCAAAAGCCCTGTCTCCCGACCAATCATCGTCGAGGTCTCTTTCGGCCAATCGGAGACCTTGGCCTACTTTTGAATAACCATTTGGCTGCACATTGGCTTGGGGTGAGTGCTTGGTAATTTTGGTCATTACACATGCACAGTGTTGCATGAACAGCGCACAGGGAGTTTCACAATATCCAGCTTCATTGGTTTACTTGTAAAACGGAAAGCTTTCCTGGACTCATCACTCTTCCTGCAAGCCGTAAACTAATATGCATTGATTTTTGTTGTAAGAAAACCGAGTGCTTCACCAAACGGGGGAGGCTAAACAGGGAAGTGAACAGCAATTCCTATCACTGTACACCTCGTCGATAGTTTAAATGTGCCCACGTCTTTTTTTCATTTAAAATCTTCACGTGAAATGAACTAATGGAATGTTAACGTAGCGTTATAGTTTGCAGACGTTAATCCCGATTTGTAAAATTAATTCGCGTTGGTGGTGTTTTTTTTCCCTTAAATTTATTTTAATAAACTTGCAACATGCACAGTGTTCGAGGAAACGACTCGCAGGCACGGAGATCCACAGACAAGTGGGAAGGGGGCCACAATTGCCCATCCGTTAAAATAATACTCTGTAGTAACGTAATTAGATTCACGCATTACCAACAAAATTCGCATTTACAGCCCTTTGACAATCCAGTGCTGGATGGAGGGTCTCCCCACACTGTGCTGAGTGGGGATTATTCGCCGGTCACGGATATTATTTGACCATACTTCACCTTGCTGGTTAGTGCGTGTTTGGGGAAGACGGACGAGGCGTATAGACGTTGGGGAGCATAGAAAGTACTGCACAGGCCAGCACAGCAATGGATTTGGCTGCACTGCCCACTGCTGACCACCACGTAGCTCCGCAGCAATCAGCTGTGCATGGGTGGTCGCCCATCCAAGCACTAACCAGCCTCAACGGTGCTTAGCGTCCGAGATCTGACGATATCCAAGCACATTCCGGGTGATTTGGTCATAAGCATTATGGCACATAACTGTGCCATTAATGGGCATATGTATTATACAGTATGTTAGCCAGTCTATTAGCGAAGCGTTTGCTGTTTGTGGGTGTTTCCATTAATTTTCAAGACCCACTTATGGAAACTGAAAATGCCTCCTCCCGCACATTTCCCACGTGGAGTATGACATTTTGATCAAACGTGCGGTGTAGAATAACGCTGAGCTAATTCGGATTATTGGGAATTTTAAACAAGCTGGCAAAATTCCTGCTCCCACGCACGCCAACGTTTCCTGGAGTTCAGGCATTGGTCTGCGTTATTGGGTGTCAATTTTGTCGAATGTTTCTCGTAATTTACATGGCAACGCGGTTTCCTCCCACACCTAAAAACCCATTAATTGGCCGTTAACACCATAATAGACAGGAGATCACAGAGCTTGGGCTACAGCTTTTGCCGGCTCACCACGTGGCTGCCTACCTGCTCGCCTGTTGGTTCCTCACGCCTCCCGAGTGTTTTTTCTCTTTTCGAGAGCGAGTGAATACTGTGCACGATGTAAGTACAAACATCTGTGCTGCGTATTTAATTGGTGGTGTAAGTAGTCCCCCATGTGGCTTTGTCGTGGCTGTGCCACACACCTGCACAAGATTGAGCACACTGTGCAATAAGGCTGTTCGTAGGGAGGGGAGGGATGGGTGGTTATTCTCCTCCCTCCCCCAGTGATTTGACGAATGTCAGGGTCACGATTCAGTGGAATAATCAATTCAAAATGTTTAACATTGCGGTTTATGGCATCGCCTCTCGTGGTTATGAGAGTGACCTTGAAACTAAAAACTAAACTTCATATTTTAGCAGGTAAGACCCACTGAGCTAAATAGCAATTTTCTTCAGAAGCGACCTTGCCACAAATGATAGCTCAAAGAAATGGCTTATCACGTGGAAATGTATGGCAGCAAATATTCTAAACGCGTGTTGATTCTAAATGTGGAGGGAAAAACCAGAGTACCCGGAGAAAATCCACGCGACCACGTGAAGAGAGACATGCATACTCCAAATATCAGGGTCGGGATCAAACCCACGACCTCCTGTATACCAGGCAAGGCAATTAACATCTCACCAACGTGGCGCTCCATTACATACAACACGTACGAATATAAAGAGAAAACGTTTCGATGCATCGTGAGTTTAAGAATCAGGATCACTGTAGTCAATTCACGGAATTCATCGTTCCGCTCCCACTCTTTGTGTACCATGACCAATTTAACCCATCTATTTAAGATGCTCATAATGGCCCGTGTGAGGCCGTCATGCAGGGGTCACTCTGAACACAGGGGCTGATGAGCATTCGTGTTTAGTTTTGTTGTTGTATATGCCTGTGTTTTGAATAATAAGTCTAAATCATGCACAAGACAGATTCCAGTGATGCTGAGCAAAGATCTACAGTATTCCTCCAAATCAGTATTCCTGTGGTAGCGTGCACAATCTAAGGTGCCTCCAGACGATGAAGCACAGTAAGCCCCCGATCACAAGTGGAAGCCTGGCTTCGCTAAGCCACCTCCTAAGACTCCGCAAGATGTTTTGGTCATTTCAAGTTCACGGGGCTAATTAGAGCGCGCGCACGCACGCGTTGACACATCGCAAGCTCGCAGTTACATACAAAGTAGTCTATGCCCGCGTGTACATCCACACAAGCGCCTTCTTTACGAGCACACAGGCACAATTGATACACACACACACAGGTGTGTACGCACGGTCACAGCTGCAGTCGTGGAGGTCACGCTGCCCTGCATTGCACGCACCTGCACGCACCTGCACACACCTGCACGCACCTGCACGCACCTGCACGCACCTGCACGCACCTGCACACACCTGCACGCACCTGCACGCACCTGCACGCACCTGCACACACCTGCACGCACCTGCACACACCTGCACGCACCTGCACGCACCTGCACGCACCTGCACGCACCTGCACGCAGACTGTAGGGGCAAGTGCTGTTAGCGAGCACCTATAAAGGCCGGAACGGTACACGAGGGGGTGGGTGGCCAACACCACGCCCGGCCGCCTTTGTCTCCCCAGTGGCAATGTTTTTATCCACTGCACCAGGTATTCATTTGAGGCTGAGTCGACCTAGGGGGAGGCCCAGGACCGGTTCAGATAATCGTCACTGGTGTTGGCCGTGAGCGGGAATCGAAACCGGGGTCGCCAGGTTCATTGCGCAGCGCGCTCACCGCTACACTATCGCTCCCCACGCACCTGTACGCACCTACACGCGCCTACACACGCCTACACACACCTGCACACAAAGACAAACACCACCCCCCCCCCCCCCCCCGTATAGCCTCAACAGGTTTTCTGGAGCAGGTGCTGTTAGCAAGTAGCACTCATATTGAAGGTCCACACGGCACACGAGGGGGTGGTGCGGGAAGCACCACGCCCGGCCGCCTTTGTCTCCTTCGTGGCGATGTTTCGATGCTGCAACCAACAAGTTGCTAATTTGAGGCTGAGTCGACCGAGGCAAGTACCGGGACCAGTTCGGATCATCGTCATTGGCGAGGGGGAATAGAACTCGACTTGCCCCGCGTAACGTAGCCGCGCCAATCACTGCTTCTCCACGTCGCGCACACCTGCACAAAGGCAAAGATCCCCCAGATAGGCTTAACGGACTGCTGGGGCAAGTGCCGTTAGCGAGCACCTAATGAAGGCTGGAACGGCACGCGAGGATGGTGGGTGGCCAACACCACGCACGGCCGCCTTTGTCTCCCCAGTGACGATGTTTACACACCGCACCAGGTACTCGTTTGAGGCCGAGTCGACCTAGGGGAGGCCCAGGACCGATTGGAGATAATCGTCACTTGGTGTTGGCCGTGTGTGAGAATCGAACCCGGGGGACCGGGGTTTGTAGCGCAGCGCGCTATCCGCGACACTACCGCTCCCCGCTATGTCACACACCTACACGCACGTGGAAAATCAAGGAAAAATGCGGCCGGTTCACGTTTGCGCACAATGGCGAGTCGTGCGTACCTTGCAAACCCGTACAGAGCACGGGCCATGGAAACACACCTGTCCGCAGATACCTGAGAACTCAGGTGTGTGTGTGTGTGTGCGTGTGCGTGCGCCCTTCTAGGCCATGTCCGCTCGTTGTGTCCACGTGCGCGCAAAGTGTCACCCAGATTCTGTGTTTACATACCAGTAACAGGTTCAGTACTCTGACACCATTATTGATTTAAATTCTGAAAGTCCCTGTCGTTTCAAAAACACAACATTTTGACAGATTCTATAAGTTATACCCGTTGCTTGGGTCAGGTGCTTTCCATCCCTCCCTCCCTCATTTCAACATTAACCGGCACTGGGTAATTTGCTCGCTGTCACTCCGTCAAGCACGGTGGTTTTATTTCCTCTCCCCACGTCTACCGCGAACCGAGCCGCAATGCGTCCAGGTCCTGCTGAGCACACGCGTGCACGCGCCCGTGTGTCATGTGTCTCTGTCCGTGTGTGGGAGCTGGTGGTGTCGAGCGGTTAGCGATTATGCCGTTCACGGCCAACACCGTGCGACGATGATTTGGGATCGGTCCTGGGCCTCCCCTAGGTCGACTCGGCCTCAAAGGAGTACCTGGTGCGGTGTGTAAATATCGCCACGAGGGAGACAAGCGTGGGCCGGTCGTAGATTCTGGCTACCCACCCCCTCGCGTGCCGGTGCCGGCCTTCATAGGTGCTGGCTAAGAGCACTTGTCTGAACAGTCGGTGTTTAAAGCTTTGTGTGTGAGTGGCGTGTGTAGAGGAATTACCCAGAAAGTGTATTTTTTTTATTCCACCCATGACACTGATGGCAAGGATGGGATCGATGGATGTTCATGATCATTATTTGGACACAGACCCCCTGGATTTCATTGTACTATGTGGAAAGTGCTGCCAGAGTCTCGTTGGAGGTGGAGGGGGGGGTGCTAGAGTAGGAGAAGGAATTTAGCAATATTTTGATGCAAGCCAAGGTTTCACCCAAGCAAACACTCCGAGCGAATCCCACGCAGAACAAACATTGGCAAGGGTGCATAACTTCGACCAGAGCGCACCTTCGATGCCATGGAAACCTTGTGTTTCAACACAGCCTACCGTTTGGCCTGTAATAGCTTAATAACCTGACAGCGTTGCCTGGGTGACCTGGCATTATTCCACGTGGCAAAGAAGAATTAAGAGCATTATAAAAGGCAGCTTGTTTAACGTTTGGTACAGTGTAAGGTTACCATCTAATTGAACCATAATGGAAAAGGCAGTCTATGAAATTATTTGTTTTAAGTAGGTAATAATTCACTTTTTGCACATTTACTTAACTGGAGTGCTGAGTGGTGATTGAAATGAAACGCCGCAGATTAATACTGTGTTGAGACGCAGTCACATACACAGCAAGGTACATCGGTGCTGTCAATCAAATTTGCATTCGTCAATGATTGCACTGCTTCAGTTATTATTATAAGTAGAAACCAAATGTTGACTTAAAGCTTTTGTGACTGCAGGAATTCATATTCTATGGTTCTTTCGGTACAGTCACGTAGATAAGTTCAAAGGAAATAACGTAAAATAACAAACAAAAAAACTCCGACCTTTCGATCGCAACGCAAGCGGTCGTCATCAGGAGGAAAAAAACCGTCTAGTTTTTTGTTATTTTTGGTTATTTTCTTTGAACCTATCTACGTGACTTTACCAAAAGACCCATAGAATGTGGAAACCAAATTTGTTTCTACAAATTATTATAGTCTACGTACACGTGTGTTTCTACTCTTCTTGAGTGAACGCTTGTTTGTATGTATGTTGAACTTTGTTTAGCACCGTACGTAGCCAACCGTGCTAATTGGAGATGTGGGGGGAAAGACGACAAATTTGTCTTCTGTCCTGCTACAGGAATTTTCACGCAAATTTCACTTGACATGGATTTTGAGCCGGCACCAAGACCTTTTGCCATCTTTTGTGCACGTCATAACATTCAAAAACTGGCTTAGTTGCTGTCAACTATGGCGAAGGTAAAAGATGCGCCCTCGGTACATCTCCGTATTCTAGCCGTCGGTTCATCTCCCTATTTTAGCCCTCGGTTCATCTCCCTATTTTAGCCCTCGGTTCATCTCCCTATTTTAGCCCTCGAATAAAAGTGAGCGGTTTCCTGCGCAATTCAATAACTCGGACGCTGATGTCCCGTCGCAGCCATGACCCAGTGGTGGAAATTCCACTTTCCCATGGCAGCGGGGTGAGTCCTTTCCAGGGAACAATCACTGTTGACCATCTCCACGATGTAGCACTGTACTCATTTGATCGACCCCGGGTTGAGTCAAACGCCGACTGAGATTTTAACTTGCAATCTGACGATTGCAAGCCCAACACTCTCCTAATCTACCACATGGCTTGATTCTTGTTTTAATCCTTTGTATTATAAGGCTTGCACTATCATTTTCAGTCAGGCGCATTCATAGTGTAATTTGATACAATTGATTTCAAATGTATCATCAGAAAGTTATTGCTTATGATGGAGTGTCCTTTTAGAAATGTGGGCATTTAGCAGCGTGAGGTAACCAGAGTAAAATTTACAAATCTTAAAAAACTGCATACCCAGGTTACTAATTACTGGTCGAGTACGCTAGTGTATGTATTTGGTGTCCCACTACTTGTGTATGGCAGTATGTTACAGTGAGGGAAAAAAGTATTTGATCCCCTGCTGATTTTGTACGTTTGCCCACTGACAAAGAAATGATCAGTCTATAATTTTAATGATTGGTTTATTTGACTGAGATTTTAACTTGCAATCTAACGATTGCAAGCCCAACACTATCCTAATCTACCACATGGCTTGATTCTTGTTTTAATCATTAAAGTACCGCATTGACCGTATTTTGGTTTAGCACTGTTTTAGCTGTGAGCATACACATACAGTATACACACCAGAAGCATAGAAATACAGTGTATTGATGAACATTTTTTTCTTGTATTAGGCTGCAGTGGTTGATCATGTATAAATGTAAAGTCTTCCCGCACTATGCATTGCGATCTTAACGGCACTTAACAGCTCATGCATTACCATACGTACGGTATATCACCATTTAATTGGCACTGTAATAAATTACACAATTCTGGCCTTTCAGAATTGTATTATCAACGTGAAATTAAACGGCAGGTAATATTTTCTCTGAAATTATGCAAAGAGAGATTAGGTATATGCTGTCATTGCATGGTCCACTGGCGCTGCGAACGCGCCGATTTAACAGCAGGCTTATTAGCAGTCTATTTGAGTACAAGAACGGCACGCTCTCTATAATTACGTCGCACGATTTACAATACGGAGTTGCTCGTGGTGTGGAAACTTTAACGCTGGCTGTATCAGAGAGCATATGTGGCGTGTTGCGTGAGGACGATATTTAATAGAGCTTACCTGTCGCTAAACGGCACGGCTAAAATGCCCGCTTGGGACCCTGGGTTTGTGTTGCAGGTGTGGCCCATGGAGACAGGTAGTTGGGTTTGTTTTTGCTTTGTGTGTGATTTTTCCCCTTCCCCCCTCCCTTCACACTGTGTACGGTATCGCTGTGTAAGCTGGGGAGTCCCAAGAGCTGATTGGTGTACTGCCTTTGTTGATCTTCGGAGTTGGTGGTTGAGAACTGAGTTTGTTTTTTACGGGAATTGTTTTTTCCGAATTGAACATTTTTGAGTCGAAGTGTATGGTTCACACCTACCGTAGGGCGATGTCCATGCATGAAAACTGTGCATTATTAAACCAGAAGTGTCTGTGTGGTGTAGTTGTCATTGCCTCCTTACCTTAGGGCTCAAGGTTCAAGGAATCGAATCCACTGTCAGCCCCACGACGGTTTTTGTCATTTTAAAATAAAATCAACACGCCACATGTTACTTTTATGTGTCGCGTAAATAACGACGACGTTTATGAATAGGCTATTGTGTAAGTACTGATTGGGCCACATTTAAAACTCTTTCATGGAAAAGCTCAACTACCTGAGTGTATCCTTTGGTACATTTTATTTTTTAGTTATGTTGAGATTAGGTATGTTCCTCAGGACCAATTTGCTACAAGGCAACACTCTGCGTACAGAAAATTATGGTACAGTAGTTCCCTTTGATTATATTATCACCATTTTCATTATGGATCGTCACCATAGCCAGACATATTGGACGGTATCAATAGAATGCTAATCTTGTCACTGTCTAACTCGTGTCCTGGTTCAGACACATTTTACAAGGGTAATGTGTGTGTGTGTGAAATGTGTATATTCAGCTATACAGTAATATGTAGAATTCAATACGCCATAATACTGTTGGTCACGTATAGGGGAGAAAAGCCGGGAGACCAGCATTGCTCAGAATAATATAATGTAAGGTGTTTTCAATTTAATGTAATAGCAAAACGGAAATTTATAACCAATGGAGGAATTCATATATTGGAATGAACATGGTCCATTAAGCACTTACCTAATCATTGCTTCTGTCTGCTGGGACCAGGCTTAATCAAAAAGAAGATTGCATTGGTCTTAGCAGGAAACCAAAACGACATTGGGTGCTGCCAATATGCCCATTTTTGTTACAATGCTAAAACCACTTTATTAGTCCTTCCTTTCAAGCTCGTGTATATACACATTATTACTAAATCCCCGGTTTAACAAGCGGCTGCAGACAAAAATGTGAAGGAAAATCAATGTGATGTGAATATGCAACAAAGCGAGTTCTGGGGGGGAATAAAAGTACCCATCTGCAAGGGTCTTCCGTTTACATGCCAATATTGTTGAGAAGGGACATGCCAATATTGTTGAAGGGTGATGGAGCGGTTGCGCAGTTGTTAGCACATCGTTTAGCGCAGCGTGCGATGAATCTGGCCACCTAAGTTTGATTCCCGGACCTGGCTGACATGAGCAGCGAGTGATATCTGCGTCATCTCTGTGCCTAACCCAGGCCAGATCTGCACCTTATTTATCAGACTTGTTAATACCATTTACAAAATCCCCCCCCCCCCAAAAAAAAATCTGCCACGCGTGTCTTGATTGTTTATTCACGATTCCAAGATTCCCCACGCAACTTTGGGTTCAACAGCGTTTTTTGGAGCTACTCCAAAGTTTTGGATCCAACTGGTGCCTTCTCTGGGGATCTCCACACTCCATTGCCATCTTTGTAACAGACGTTATTGGGATCGAAGCTATTGGGATCAATAACGTACAATGTACGTACTTGTAAGATCATTTTGTTTGTATATAAATACACAATCGTGTTTAATTTGTAACGCTTGCTGCAGTGTTTGTCCGCTGACCGCGTCCACCCTTGAAAAGAGCTGTCTAGCTCAATGGGTTATTTACTCGGCAAATAAACTTCTAAATCTAAATCTGCCATCACCAGCCCGCAACTGACCAGCGTGGTGAACCGTGGACAAAGCAACTTTCCCTCGGCTGACACTGCACGGACAGATGGGCACTTCGTCCAGCAGTGGATTGACAAAGGGCTGCAAATCAACAATCCATCATCGTTGTTTAAGACCGCCGTATTGTTTTGGCGTTCCCTTTAGCACCCTCATTTATATAAAGGGTTCTTGCTGTTTTCAATGCTTCAAACGTTGAGACGGAAATAAACAAAACATCATGGGACCTCCTTTGCCAGTACCAAATTACAATAGGTTTTTCCCCTTCTTTCTGGCAACAAAACAGCTGTGTTAAGATGCTAAAACACCAAACTGAAACCTTTTACAAGGAATCATGTCTGCATTAACCACAATACTTGTGGTCAGAATGCAAACAAAAAGTTCTCTGATAATATATGCATTGTCCTTGAAACTGATTGGTCCACACCAGAGACAGCATTCTTTTGAGCATCGTCTCAAACGCTGTTAGACCAGATGACGATTTTTGACGCCTTTTGGCGTCCTCTGGTCTAACACCGTTTGAGACGAGGCTCAAAAGAAAGCTGTCTCTGGTGTGGACCAATCAGTTTCAAGGATTCATGTCTGCATTAACCACAATACCTGCAGTCAAAATTCAAACAAAAAACATACTATGATAATATATGCATTGTCCTTGAAACTGATTGGTCCACACCAAGGGACGGCTTTCTTTTGAGCCTCGACCCAATTGGTGCTCGACCACATGACGCCAAAAGGCGTCACACAGCTCAAAGACAATGCACTATCGAAGTAATGAGGGCTCGGGGTGAGCATCTACATCATTAGACCTCCTTTGCCAGTACTGGCAAAGGAGGTCTAATGATGTAAATGCATATATTACCAGAGTTTTTTGTTTGCATTCTGAACACGAGCATTGTGGTTAATGTAGACAAGATTCCTTGTAAAAGGTTTCAGTTTGGTGTTTTAACATCTTAACACCTGTTTTGTTGCCAGAAAAAAGGGGAAAACATATGATCATAAACAAAACAGTTGCAGTATGTGCTCTTTAGCGCGGAGCGTGAGCTAATGAGTAGTAATTAATGCGTGTTGTCTCTTCCGCGAATGAATCACTCTAGATTTTAAGTTGTGTAAATTACCAATTTGCCAAGCTCATCTTGGTCCTCTGTGTTTGTTTATTATAGCTGCCTCAACTGTACCCGAGCAGAGTTTGCTTTGGTCTCAGCTGCGGTTGTGACCGCTGTCACTGCAGTTGTGTTTGCACCACCTTTAAACTTCTCATTTCTTGTTTAAGTAAAACATATAATACAGTCCAGTATTTTTGTTATTACTGGTGAGGTTTTTTTTAAAAAAAAATGCTTATTTTCCAAGAAAAATACTTCTCAGGATGTACCTGCTTGGGTTATTCCACCAGTTGTATAAATATATTTTTTTGTATGTGCAGAAGGACAATGGAGTACCTGGGAAACAACGTTTTAAGCTCTGAAAAAATAAAGCTACTTTTCTATACTGCCCCTGACAAACACCTCATTGCCCTACAGGTGAATGTCTAATGCCTGTGGTGATGGCAGGAGGGCAGCGAGGGTTGGTGAATCGGACGAAATGTTGCAAAATTCCCTGCTCCGTGGGTGTCGAGGTCGTTGTACCCTGGCTCGCCAGGAGAAGGTGGTACAGCAAGTGTGGATTAATCTCCATTTGTTTCTTCTGTATGGGGGTCGATGGGTGCTGGCCCCCTCACACGTGTGTGGGTGTTCTACCACAGGTTTCTCTCCCATTATGTACATCCACTCTTGCACGTTCTTCAAACGTCTGAATCTACATGCGCCTTAGTGTTGCGGATCGCGCAGTGTTGTGCGATGTAGTCAAGTCAATTGGACTGATGTTTATTTGTTATGCGGGAAGCCTTACGCAGCCAGTTACCAAGCTACCCAGCTAGTTTGCAATGGAGATCTGTGGTGCAATCAGCAAGAACAACATCATAAAAGTGATATGTTAAGCTATATGAAAACGTAATATTATTTGTATATTCATGATGTTATCAAATATGATCACAGGTGAATGTCTGATGTATGTGAATGCTCCTTCTTTGCAAAATGAGCCACTAATTTCCTTTTCGTTCCCTTGTATTATAAGGCTTGGACTATCATTTTCAGTCAGGCGCAATCATAGTGTAATTTGATACAATTAATTTCAAATGTATCATCAGAAAGTTATTGCTTATGATGGAGTGTCCTTTTAGAAATGTGGGCATTTAGCAGTGTGAGGAAACCAGAGTAAAATTTACAAATCTTAAAAAACTGCATACCCAGGTCACTAATTACTGGTCGAATACGCTCGTGTATGTATTTGGTGTACCACTACTTGTGTATGGCAGTATGTTACATGCTAATGTCGAGGTCTGCTAGCCACGAGAGGGCTTCAGGAGAGAGTTTGTGTGGTTATGCTATTCCTCCATTGAAAGAGTGCATACTACAGTGGTTTACAATGTGAAAACAAAAAATTTGTTCCGGATTCCCTGTTGCTTGAGCCATTTTTGGGCAGATCACTCCTGGAAGAAGAACATGCGATTGTTTCCACCGAGTACTTTTGAGCCACATGGCCGTCATCCTCGGCAGTGGCTTTTGGATAACCATCGGACAGAGACGGTTACCGCATCGAGTGCTTTCAGATGCGCTTCTTCGGCCCTCTGGAATGCTCTTCCTGCCGATTATTAGGATGCCACTGGAGCTATGCACTTTTACATCTAGATTGAAAATTCATTTCTTTAGAACTGCTTTTTGTTGTCCTTCACACGCACCTCCGATTAGCACGGTTGGCTACGTACGGTGCGACAGAAGTTCTACATACATACATGGTCCATAGTTTTAGTTGCATGGCTACAATTGCACTGTGGGTTGTCCTTAATTATTCATTTCTCAAGGAGATATGTGCATCGGGCTGGTGGTGTTTTGATGCGGTTTGCCACTGCCTTTCTGCCGAGAACATGGATTTATTTATTTATTGCCATGCCATTTTAGTCCACACATCTTGTACATCAAACATTAGCAATTATAACCCTTCCATGAGCTTTACGCAGTAAAAACGCACACAAAAATCCCGGGAAATGTTATATACAAAAACCGAACGCTTGC